AGCAAATCACAATACAAACGCCACTGAGATTGACTCTTTACGGTGTCAACACCTGTTTCCAAATAACGTGTTCACCGTCCTTCGGACCACAGCCCGATAGTTGGGAGACACCAACGGACACCGAATTCAAACTGAGGGACTTCATTCCTCTTGATGAAATCATCGCTTGACCTCCCTTCCTCTTCCTTCAGGTACAGGCCCTGCGTGCAAACAACGCATGACGCGGAAGTTGCTCTGTTGGCATGCGCAACATGTGGCCCAACCAACAGTGCTGAGTGGTTCACTCGCTTTTTCCGTACCAAATACACTCACCGTTATCAATACAGGAGCCAACACCATGTTGGCCGCCCAGATGAAGCTCAGCAGAGGAGAATATTTCCACTTGGGCGTTTAGATCACCAACTAACACCACAGTAGCCGTGCTTCTTCTGTGACGAAGGAGATCGTGAAGTTGTTGATAGAAAGCATGTTCCACCGAATCAGTGCTACAGTTTTTAGGGGCGTAGGTCGCAATGACAAACAGGTACCGTTGGTCCCCACGCGAGTTCGTAGCATGGAACGAACCAGCTAATCTAACGGCGCACATCCAACTGTTGGATGGGACCCAATCGATCAGGGCAACTACAGCCCGGGGACACAAAATAATGCTGACGCCAGCTTGACCGGCATTTGAAGCTGCATCATCACTAGACAGGCGCAATGAGAATGTGCCGCTAGTGTCGCATGTGGGGGATCGCAGGGTAAGCACGGAGCTCGAATCTTGTGATAAACAACAAATATCGATCTATAGAGTCCCTAATGTGCGGAAAAGTGCTGCTTGTTGGCCAATCTGTAGCAAAGTGCGCAGGTTGAGGCACGCCAGTCTTAGTGAGACTCGAGGACTCCAATGGGAAACGGATGAACTGACGTTGTCCGCTTAGTTGAGCATGGACTTGTCGACTGGATTTGAGCGACGCCCTACGACTGTGCGTTATTTGAAACTAGCAGACAAGCGACTACTGAAGTTAGGTGGGGAGGTCCAAAAATTGTAGGAGTGAAAATGGGAGAGGATAAAAGTAAAGCTGGAGCGGGAAGATAAGGATGAAAAAGCGCAAGAAGGGGATAAGAAGAGGGAAAGGCCTGAGTAAATAAATAAATAAATTGTATATTCCTCGACGATGCGAGAAGCTGTTCTCTATAAGGAACAGATCAGATAATGGTACAACTTTTCCATGACATTTCATCAATACATTTTCAGAGATAAACATGGATGCAATTGCAAATTATGTTACACAGAGTAATCAGAATCGTTCTGCTATTTTTACCTGCCACTGAATCAGGATTCTTCACAATCAAACCCTTATCCACCCTGCTCGATGCAGCAGATAGGGCGCCGTTGACTATCCTCTGCGACGGCCAGAGCATCAAGAAATTGTTGGAAGAAAGGTTCATGGTATCTTCTACACCGCAATCAGGGCCCTCGAGTTCAGTAGGGACTGCACACATCGAACTCAGCAAAGGCGCATACCCACTTGTATCTATGGAAGTGAAGTGCTCCGCCAATGCGGATGCACGTTCAGTACTGGAGGGCAGAGATTGTCCGTCAGTGCCCTCTAACACAGCTACGTCACTTGTGGGCCTCGAACGCCGCTCCACGTAAGAAAAAGCTCCTTGGGGACAATCTTCGCTGAGGTCGCAAGCTCCTCTTCGAATTGCTGACGTTTTCGCACTTTGTGCTGTTGCATAGAGTCCACTGCCTATTGTACGCCTCATAATCGTCGGTAGGATCAGAGACGAAGGATTTATACCACAATTCGCGTCGCCGTTCAGCCTATTAACTATACTCTCTGTCGAACCAATGTGGCTTCATTGGCCAAGCTTGCTGATACTCGAGGGGTACGAAACGAGCGCACAACGATTGCACACCCACTTTTATAACAGAGCAACAAGCCTCAACGGATAAATGCTGCGGCAGCGACCAGTCTACTTCACTGGCGGCTCGATTTAGATCATTGAAGTTGGTCTTCCAATAATTGTAGGACGGCTCCAGCAGACGCGAGTAGGGCAGCGGAAGCTCTAGGCTGGCTAAAACCATCGAGTGGTCACTAGCTGCCAGAGCCTCCAGAATCTAAATTTCATGTACACGTTGCACGCAACTGGTTAGTAATAGATCCAGGCACGATGGAGCTGAACACAGTGTAACACTCGTCGGTTGGAAGAAATGTTGTGCTACCCCAGTTTCAAATACGATCTCCGCAAACTGTGCCTCGACTTCACAGTGCTCGGGGAGAAGTTGGACCTCAGGCTGCCGTATTCGAAGGCAATTAAAATAACCCATAAGCAAGAAGTGGGACTGAGTCAAGTAGTTTCTGGCATGCGGCAACCAATCTCCACACGACACCAGAGCGCATAATCTAACGGGATAGGAACGCAATTCAGCAATTTTCTCTCGGACGTGAGCTAAGACTCTTGGTTCAGGATGAGTTGGGTTGTTTCAAGCAGTCCGAAAAGGTACTGAAAACTGGTAACTAAGGTGCTGGGCTGTTGAGGCGGACATTTGGACGAATAGACAACTCTATATTCCGAGAGATGCTCAGTGCGTATGTTCGTCTTCATGTCGAATACGCTAACCAAGCCTGGCATTCATGGCTGAAACACGATCTTAATGCATTGACGCAACATCGACCTCAGGCATCACTGGAATGCGAAATATATCCTATGAGCAGAGGCTAAAACATTTCGGAGTAAACAGTAGACGTTGTCGCCGATTACGAAGCAACCTGATAATGACCCACTTGATTCTGAACGACCCACATCATGTGTGCCCCCTTTGCTGCAGGACAGCAAGAAGCCAGACTTGAGAGGCCACTCCTTGAAACTAGCAAAACAATACAGCCGCCTGTGTCGCAGAAAGTTCTTTTCTAATCGTGTATATCACTCGTGAAAGGCTCTCCCCAAATCAGCCGTTTCTTCACCGACATAAACCATATTTAGAAGTCGGTTGGATGACGCACTCAAGCATTTATATTTTGTTATTTACACTACTTCTCCAATATGCCTTGCATTTATTAGCTGTCAGCTGGTGGAGCCGTGAAACTACGCGGGGTGCAAGGCTACTGCGTTACACACGATAAGTCATTCTAGCAATAAAATTACTAAATGTTTTATTCCTTAAACTTTTGCGATTATCCAACCAAACCACCAGCGGGGCTTGTAAAACAGTGCTTAACCAGTAGAAAGTCATTTTTGATAGCCGGATCACTGATGTATCCTGTTCGCTTGAACCCAGAAGCCTGTCTTGGTCATCTATCTTGATCCACTGCCTGAAGGGATTTCGTACGGATGCTATCGATTTTCTAAGGCATACTCCTCAGCACAACCTGACCTTGCCAACTTGTATGTCACTGAATCAAAGCTAGGAAACACAAACGAAATGTTAACACGAAGGATTGGTTAACGCATTTCCTCACGATCTGGAAAGATATAGTGTTTCTCCACACCCTCGCTCGAAGGATCATGGAATAAGGTACAGATGCTCGGTCTAGTTGGATGCATCGGAGTCGCGCTGTCTCACCATTTCCTTGTAACAATATGATAAGCATAAGTAGCTCTCTGTTGACTAAATAAGCTCACTCGGAGGGCTGCGTCCATCTGCATACCTTTCCGGACTGCGCAGATAACCTATCATTCTCACATCAACTAAGCATTGGAAGTGGAGGATGAGACTATTTATCTGGGCCAGTTCTACTAACCAGTCTAACAAAGAGGTTACTGAACGTATCTCTACGGATCGTGTCTTTCTAGAGAATAGGTTTGGTACCAGCGAGGTGGTTATTTGAGAACTTTACAGTGTAGCAGCGTGATCAACTTTATTGTATGGATTAGACACAGTTACTGAGCGCATGAGAATTAGTGTGTCGGCTGTGTTTGAGAAGTAGTACCCAAATCCAGTGGAAGCACTGAAATTGTTATAAAGGTGGATCAGCAATACGCCGGTACGCAGTACCGAGGATTCGCTGCAGCGCAACCATCACCAATCACACGTTGGCTAAGGATAATGCGAGGGTCACTTAGCCCCCTACGCAGGCTCGAACCCGCGCCCTCGGATTGCAAGGCAGGCCTGTGACCCTTAAGACTACAAGCTGGCGAACTGATGATAGTGAATTGTATCATTTGCTGTTTGATAACTGATTCTGTTCAATCCGAACGGACTATGCTGGCTAGGCCACAATTGTCTCTGGATTTTTACCACGGGCCCCACAACTTGTAGTCCATGGTTCATATGGAGCACACTATCAAGCTGCCATTTACTGATAGAATTATAGCGTATAATTTGTCAACTAAAAAACTCTATCTTGTCGCAAAATGACTGCCAAGTTGGCCTGCAGAACTATCTCCTCGTGGTGTCAGTTGAGTGGTTCAAGTATATCCCGTTCCAGCAAATGGTTCGACTGCAATGATCCAGGACGTGGTGGGTTTCGCCTGGCAATGGTTCCCCTAATAAAAGACACAAATGTCTGCTGAAACACTGTGATGTAGCGGGTGCGACTCGTCATTAGCTAAAATCACTGTCGCTGCCTCACACTGGTGGAACATTGTATCCCAGCTGCCTGCTGCTGAAATAGTGCGGAAGATCAGATCCTTGTTTGTAACCGACCAAACGAAAGGCGTATGAACTGAGCAAGCAGTCACCGGCTCCCAGTCGGCGCGATTCCCTGAATTCGCTACGCTGCCTTGCGGATCGGCTATGCAGCTGAAGGTTCAAGACGGAGTACCCTAAATCAAGTACCTACTTCGGCTTGGGCAACCGGGTTATCGCGCCCACTGAAGAAACTATAGATTTCTCTGTGTTGTGTACGGTTTCTCTCTTACGACAATCGTACATTAGTTTGATTTTCAAGGCTTTTGACGGCTCTATGCCTATTCGTAGACTGTTGCAAATATATGAAATTGTGTGTCAAGAAAGCCAAAGCATCGTTAAACAAACAAGCTGTCTGCAAGTAGTTTATTCAATGACTCACCAAGTGATGAGGTCACTGGCCACAGACTTGACACGCTCGTAGAATCGCAACTCTTCCGCCCTCGAACTGATACGCAGGCGTTGTATCATGGATGGTGCAAACAGCTGCACCTTGTCCCGATGGAACGTCACGTCTTCCCATCCGTAACGACGATAGAACAAGTAGAATAGTAACCTAAAAGAAAAGAAAAGGTGAGTTTGCCACCACCATGACAGGAACCGCAAGTGGGATATGAGAACATTTGCCCACAGCGGTTTATCAATATGTCCCAACAGGCTTTGCAGTCACCGCACAGGAAATGCAGTCAACATGTCACTTTTTATACTTCCCATCAAAGGTAAAGATGGGAGACTTGAAAACAAACAACTGTTTCCCACGATAATCTCATCCGATTTGGAATGTCAATACCATGCATGATAAAATGGTAAAACAATACATTTTGTAAGAGTACATGAGAAGTGTTCACTTAGTGTTAGGAGAACCGTTTTACTAAACCAATGGGTTATGCAGATTGCATACAATAGAAATTGTATACTTCTCGTGGCACACGGAAAAGAAACACATAAACGAATAGATCATCTTCACCTGGACATGATGCTCACGCTATGAACACAGTCGGAGTCGGCCCACACTTTTTCTGCATACACAGCAGCAGCGGCGGCGGCGGCGCAACAGCAGTGGCAGCAACAGCCGCATTCCTAACTATCTAGCACAGGAATCACACGGACTTGACGTACACAGGGCGGTGGCTGGGCCGTTGTCCGTTTCACACTGGATGGAAGCACTAAATAAGCCTAGCACAGCTGCAAAAACTGTGCACCCCTTCCCCCTCCGGCCACTAATCGAGATGGAGAGCGTTAGACAGGTAGGCATCTTGTCAACCTTCACATCAAGCGCAACCCCATCGAAGATATCAAACAACCAACGCAGAATCTCATGCAGCCATTTCCATTCAAAACATTTGAGATACCGAAAATGAACAAGATTTGAGCGGGATAGCATGATCGACATTACGCTGCGACACAAAGGAGAAAAGAACGGCAGAAGATTCTGCTGCTGATTACGTCATGCCATAACGAGGTGCTAATACATAGCTGAGCTCGTGATGTTCCATCAGACTAAGAAACTGCTCTGTGATTCCAAGTTGGATAGACCTAACTCTCAGGGTACCGCCTCATGCGCTTATCAATGTACCTGTACTTGCGGTAGTACATACATTGGCGAAACCGAGAGAAGGCCATCAGCTAGGATCGTGGAACGCGTTCCAGAGAACTTAGCAATGAGTGGCCCTGAGCTTCCTTCCAGCTAGATCGCCCGGTATCTGCTCGATTACACTTTGTGCGCAAACACTCGTAACTCATACCGGATTCTCAATAAGCAGTTTATTCCGAGCTTGCTTCGAGTTGCTGAGGACTCCGCCAACGGGCGAGTGAAGTCGAACCTCTTCTAGAACCCTGACTTTGCGACTAGCCTCACTCTGTCCTGGCAAGACGTGTTTCTTGTTATTACAGTCGAGAACCTTGCATTTCTCGGTGTCCTGTTGATTCTTATATTGACCCCTACTCATTTGCAACCCTTTTATCCTTCCATTGTTTCTCTGTGCGCCATTGATTGAATACTCGAAATAAACTGAGTTCAGGTTATCGTGCTCAAATGTTGTCCGTCCTTTCTATCTTAAACCAACGCAGAATTCCATGGAAAATAGACATGCCAGGTTGAAACAGAATATGTAGCGGAATGACAGAACTGAGCAAATGAAATAAACAGGAATAGCTTATACACAGGTTAAGAAGATCTAGTTTAAGTGTAATTCGGTGTAACTCAACTGCGGTGGAGAAGCGTGATGCATACAGCGTTAACCTCAGCATGAAAAGTTTAATAGTTATGATGGGGTAAAAAGCATGACTTTACAAGAATATATATATATATATATATTCCGGCAAAAACGGTGGAGGAAAAAAAGCGAAATACAATCTTAAAAGAAAACAGATTTCTTAGTTGTGCACACGCCGTTTTGTACTTTTTGTTTTTAAGTTCCATTTGCCATTAACTATTAGGTGATGCGGCAGAACAGCACTGGATGAACTGATATCTGTTGCGAGCCATGACATCTGACCGTTCGCACCACTGGGAGTCACTGTTGCGTGGTCACCAGCCTAGAAGTCGTGGCGGGCCGACGGATGCCAAACTTTAGGTCGCCTTCTTCATGCTTCTTAATATCCACCGCGACACTTCTTTCAATCGCAAATAACGCTCGATAGGAAAGGCGATAAGCAGGAATGCGCAATACGTGGCCCAGCCAACACATACAATGTCACCGACTAAGGCTTTTGAGGCAAGGGCTTTTCGCCCCATTCACTTGGTCTGGGATTTCTTTATTGCTAACGTGCTGTTGCCATCACATACGAGCAATACTTCGCAGACAACGATGGTCAAAAAATGACATTCGCTTCATCTCCTCCGAGCGCATAGGTCAAGTCTAACAGCCGTACAACAGGACCGCAAGGACAGAGGCAATGTACACCACGTCTTTGAGCTTGATAATGACGGCGCCACAGGTGACCCAATTTGATGAATGCAATGCGGAACTTTGCGATCCGTTGTCAGACCTCATCTCCAACATCGCTGCGTGCCGGGACGCAACTACTTAGTTGAGTGAAGAGAGGGAATTGGTCCAGAACGTCACGAGAAATGATGAGGGCAGGTACAGGCTCATGCAAAGATGCAATAAGAACAACAATTCAACAGTGCACAAGAGGCTTAGCAGTCTATTGGTCGTACAATAGGACAATGGAACAATGGTATATTGGGGCAAAAAGCAGATGCATAGCAAGTCTCGTCGGATGGCCAGAAAGAGAACCACAACATGGTGAATAGAAAACAGTGATAAAATAACAATCGCTTTTGTGAACTCACCACAGTGTTAACCCAGAGGCATGCAGAAAGGGCCAACTTTAGTCGTGTGCAACTTTAGTCGCATTATATCGTCTGTCGAGACACACAGGCTATATCGCGTAATGTAGGTGGGTTAGGGCAAAGTTAAGGCGTTTTTTCTACACCGGTAAAGTGGGGACGGAAACTACGTAATTTGGGAAAGCGTTGCATGACTGGCACACATGAAGAGAGTAAACGTTGCGCCGACATTCTAGCCGAACGTATTGTGCGGCTAACTTGAAGTTGTGACCTCTCAAATTCCTGTTGTGGCTCAGTTGTAGTAGGTGGCAGCAGCCATAGTTGGGGCTGCTCAGAATCTGGTAGGGCATAATAAGGTCGCCACGTAGACGCCGATACCAGCCGCTGTATAATTTTAGGGTCCTCAGTCTAAGTTGATAAGGAAGGTTGAACAACCCTTTCACGTGCTTCGTGGCTCGTCGCTGTAGAGCCTCGAGCGCTGCGAGGTCTAGCTTGTGCCAGGCCTGGATTGCGTATTCTGATCCAGGCCGAAGCTTATTGGTCAACCAATGTGAGCTAGCTAATGATGACGATTTACCTTGTACGCTGCCAAAGAGGATGGTCCACCTTGAAGCCCGCCAGTAAGCCCTACGCCATTCCTTTATCAACTGTTGATTCGATCCGCTTATTTTATTTCCTTACACTGCTTGAGGAGTGCTCAATATATTTTTCGTCTGAGGCCTTTGTTTTCTAATCTGGGAACTCGGCCGGTCAGTTTGCGCGGTAGCAGCAGGTTATCCATACAGTCAGCGAAAACCACAACAGATTTTGGCGACAGACGTGAACTAAATCAGGATGCCAATCTCACCAGAAGACCTGAAGCCCATTTTGTTACAACAGCAGCAGCAGCAATTTGAAGTGGCACAGCTGCGAATGATTGAGACTCCCAGCCGAACGCTAGCTATACAGTCTACACCCATCAAGAACACTGGGAAGCGTTCAGCGGACGTAGTGATCAGCAGCGTTAGTGAGTAGATTTTTGGTCCTGATTCTGGACTAATATTTGATGCTTAGTGCAGGCGCTATGAAGTTGTTTTCAGAACAGAGTTGTCAAGTCTCGATGATGGATCAAAAATTCGTCAGCTGTTACGAAAATTGGGAACGGTCGAGCACGGTCGATTTCTCTACTACATTTCGCCCAAGAACGCCCATGAGTTCAGCTTTGAGGACACAGTTGCTCGGCTCGCAGTAATGTTTGGAGACCAGTCGTCGCTTTTGAATAATCGGTACAATTGTTTGAAGGTTTGTAAGATAGATAATGGCAGTTTTATTGCGCATGCAGTGACTATAATGCGTAAATGCCAGGAATTTAAACTAAAGTCGCTTACTGAAGCTCAGCTCGAGTGTCTGATATTAGTGTGCAGTTTGTAATCCCCCGAAGATGCCGAAACCCGGACTAGAATACTTGAAATGATGGAAGGAGACCCGGATGTCACACCACAGAACGTCGTTGCTGAAGCCCGGAGGATCAGAAATTTAAAGCATGACACAGCTATGGTGGAGGATTCAAAGGTGCATATTGGTGATAGTACTGTCCAGCAAGTTTCCAGGGACAGCACTTCAGCAAAAGGGTACCGGATGTGTCCACAAGCTAAACCCCCATCTGCTTGCTGGCAATACGGAGGTTGGCATTTTGTGAGATGGTGCCCATTCAGCAAGCATATCTGCCAGAAGTGCCATAGACGTGGACACAAGGAGACCCACAGCAGGTCCAAAGTACCTTTCCGGCCACCATACACTGCCCGAACTCAAGGTCACCGAAAGTTTGCAAGAAATTTTAACGCTAACTTCTCCGACTATGTTAAAGACAGAAGAAAGTTTGTCACTATCAGCATCAATGGGTGACTGGCGCGTTTACAAATCGACACGGCGTCCTACATCACAATCATTTCAGAAAACTTGTGGAAATCTGTTGGTGCACCTGATATTAAACCGATCGGCCAACAAGCGATGAGCGAATCAGGCATCAAGTTGGATCTGATCGGTCAGATTGAGTGCGATTGCCGTTTTGTCGATTTTACCGCTTGGGGAATCATTTTCATCACGTCACAAGAATTTGAACCTAATTGGGTTTGACTGGATCGAACGCTTTTACAAGATATTCCCATCAACTAGATATGTGCACTGTGCAACCACACAAACCCAACGTTCCGAAGACATTGGCTATCGAACACATTCGAAAGAAATATGCGGATGTTTCCATGAGGGGCTCGGTAAGTGCA